GTTCAACTCAGTGCCCCATTTTATAATTGGGTTGATTAGCCTTTTACGGTCTAGTTTCTTGAGTTCTTTATATATTTTGGAGATCAGACCTTTGTCAGTTGTGGGGTTGGTGAAGATCTTCTCCCAGTCAGTGGGTTGCCTTTCTGTCTTAGCAACAGTGTCCTTTGCTTTACAGAAGCTTCTCAGTCTCAGGAGGTCCCATTTATTCAATGAGGCCCTTACTGTCTGTGCTGCTGGGGTTATACGTAGGAAGTGGTCTCCTGTGCCCACGTGTTGTAGAGTACTTCCCACTTTCTCTTCAATCAGGTTCAGTGTGTTTGGACTGATATTGAGGTCTTTCACCCACTTGGACTTGAGTTTTGTGCATGGTGATAGATATGGGTCTATTTTCATTCTTCTACAGATTGACATCCAGTTTTGCCAGCACAATTTGTTGAAGATGCTCTCTTTTTTCCATTGTATACTTTTAGCTCCTTTATCGAAAATCAGGTGTTCATATGTTTGTGGGTTAAAGTCAGGGTCTTCTATTCGATTCCATTGGTCGACTTCTCTGTTTTTATGCCAATACCAAGCTGTTTTCAATACTGTAGCTCTGTAATAGAGTTTGAAGTCAGGGATGGTAATGCCTCCAGACGTTCCTTTATTGTATAAGATTGTTTTGGCTATCCTGGGTTTTTTGTTTTTCCATATAAAGTTGATTATTGTCTTCTCCAGATCTGTGAAGAATTTTGATGGGATTTTGATGGGGATTGCATTGAATCTATAGATTGCTTTTGGTAGAATTGCCATTTTTACTATGTTGATCCTCCCAATCCAAGAGCAAGGGAGGTCCTTCCATTTTCTGGTGTCCTCCTCTATTTCTTTCTTCAAAGACTTGAAGTTCTTGTCAAATAGATCTTTCACTTCCTTGGTCAGGGTTACCCCAAGATATTTTATGCTCTTTGTGGCTATCGTGAAAGGTGATGCTTCTGTGATTTCCCTCTCTGTTTCCTTATCCTTAGTGTATAGGAAGGCAACTGATTTTTTGGAGTTGATCTTGTATCCAGCCACGCTACTAAAGGTGTTTATCAGCTGTAGGAGTTCTTTGGTAGAATTTTTGGGGTCGCTTATGTATACTATCATGTCATCTGCAAATAACGAAAGCTTAACTTCTTCCTTTCCAATACGAATCCCCTTGATCCCCTTATGTTGTCTTATTGCTATTGCTAGAACTTCAAGCACTATATTGAAGAGGTATGGAGAGAGTGGACATCCTTGTCTTGTTCCTGATTTTAGTGGGATGGCTTTGAGTTTTTCTCCATTTAATTTAATGTTAGCTGTCGGTTTGCTGTAGATAGCTTTTATTATATTTAGGTATGACCCTTGTATCCCTATTCTCTCCAAGACCTTTATCATAAAGGGGTGTTGAATTTTGTCGAATGCTTTTTCCGCATCTAATGAAATGATCATATGGTTTTTTTCTTTCAGTCTATTTATATGGTGGATTACATTGATAGATTTGCGTATGTTGAACCAGCCCTGCATCTCTGGGATGAAGCCTACTTGATCATAATGGATAATTTTTCTGATGTGTTCTTGAATTCGGTTTGCCAGTATTTTATTGAGAATTTTTGCGTCGATATTCATGAGTGAGATAGGCCTGTAATTCTCTTTCTTGGTTGGGTCTTTGTGTGGTTTTGGTATCAGGGTAACTGTAGCTTCATAAAAGGAATTTGGCAATGACTTTTCTGTTTCTATATTGTGAAATACGTTAAGGAGTATAGGTATTAGCTCTTCTTGGAAGTTCTGGTAGAATTCTGCGTTGAACCCATCTGGTCCTGGGCTTTTTTTGGAAGGGAGATTTTTGATAACAGTTTCTAGTTCTTCGCGACTAACAGGTCTATTTAGATCATTCACCTGGTCTTGGTTTAGCTTTGGTATATGGTACTTATCTAAAAAAATGTCCATTTCTTTTGCATTTTCCAGTTTTGTGGCATACAGGCTTTTATAGTAAGATCTAATGATTCTCTGGATTTCCTCTGTGTCTGTGGTTATGTCCCCCCTTTCATTTCTGATTTTATTTATTTGCGTGTTCTCTCTCTGTTGTTTAGTTAGTTTGGATAGGGGTTTGTCGATCTTGTTGATTTTCTCCAAGAACCAACTTTTTGTTTCATTGATTCTTTGGACTGTTTTCTGTGTTTCTATTTTGTTGATTTCTGCCCTCAGTTTGATTATTTCCAGTCTTCTACTCCTTCTGGGCACCTCTGCTTCTTTTTTTTCTAAAGCTTTCAGGTGTGCCATTAAGTCCCCAATGTATGCTTTCTCTGTTTTCTTTAAGTGGGCACTTAGTGCTATGAACTTTCCTCTTAGCACTGCTTTCATCGTGTCCCATAGGTTTGAGTATGTTGTCTCTTTATTTTCATTAAATTCAAGGAAGACTTTAATTTCTTTCTTAATTTCTTCCTTGACCCAGGTGTGGTTCAGTAGTTGACTGTTCAGTTTCCATGAGTTTGTCGGCTTTCTGGGGGTAGCATAGTTGTTGCCATCTAACTTTAATCCGTGGTGATCTGATAAGACACAGGTGGACACTGATATTCTTTTGTATCTGTGGAGGTTTCCTTTGTTTCCGAGTATATGGTCAATTTTTGAGAAGGTTCCATGAGCTGCAGAGAAGAAGGTATATTCTTTCCTATTTGGGTGGAGTGTTCTGTAGATGTCTGTTAAGTCCATTTGCTTCATTACCTCCAATAATTCTCTTAATTCTCTATTAGGTTTCTGTCTGATTGACCTGTCCATTGGAGAGAGAGGTGTGTTGAAGTCTCCTACTATTAGTGTGTGTGGTTTTATGTCTGCCTTGAGTTTTAGAAATATTTCTTTTACATAAGTGGGTGCTTTTATATTAGGGGCATAGATATTCAGGATTGAGATGTCATCCTGATGAATTGTTCCTGTTATGAGTATAAAGTGTCCATCTCGATCTCTTCTGATTGATTTTAGTTTGAAGTCAGTTTTGTTGGAAATTAGTATGGCCACACCTGCTTTTTTGTTAGGACCATTTGCTTGAAAGACCTTTTCCCAACCTTTTACTCTGAGTAGATGCCTGTCTTTGTGGTTGAGATGTGTTTCTTGCAAACAGCAGAATGTTGGATCCTGTTTTCGTATCCAATCCCTTAGCCTGTGCCTTTTTATAGGTGAATTGAGACCATTAATATTAAGTGATATTAGTGACCAGTGGTTGTTTACTCCGGTTATTCTTACTGTTTTCGGTAGTAGAGTTTGTGTGTGTCCCTTCTTTGAGTTGTACTGGTGAAGGTTCGCTAGATTCCTGAGTTATTGTAGTCAGTGTTGGCAATGTTGGATTCCTTGGGTTGCGATTTTCCTTCTATTACTTTCTGTAGCGCTGGATTTGTGGCTACGTATTGTTTAAATTTGTTCTTATCCTGGAATGTCTTGTTTTCTCCATTGATAGTGAATACTAGCTTGGCTGGGTATAGAAGTTTGGGTTTGCATCCATGGTCTCTTAGTTTTTGAAGAACCTCTATCCAGGACCTTCTGGCTTTCATGGTTTCCATAGAGAAGTCAGGTGTAAGTCTGATCGGTTTACCTTTATAAGTTACTTGGCCTTTTTCCTTTGCAGCTCTTAATATTCTTTCTTTAACCTGTATATTTTGTGTTTTGATTATTATATGGCGAGGGGATGCTTTTCTTTGATCCAGTCTGTTTGGTGTTCTGTATGCTTCTTGGATATTCAAAGGAATATCTTTCTTTATGTTGGGAAAGTTTTCTTCCATAATTTTGTTAAATATATTTTCTGGGCCTTTGAGCTGTAATTCTTCCCCTTCTTCTATTCCTATTATTCTCAGGTTTGGTCTTTTTATTGTGTCCCATATTTCCTGAATGTTTTGTGATGAGAATTTGTTGGCTTTGCTGTTTTCTTTGATCAGTGCGTTTATTTTCTCTATGGTGTCTTCAGAATCTGAGATTCTTTCTTCTATTTCTTGTATTCTATTGATTATGCTTGTTTCTGTAGGCTCTGCTCGTTGACCTAGATTTTCCGTATCCAGCTGGTCCCCAGTTTGTGCTTTCTTCCTTGCTTCCATTTCAGTTTTCAATTCTTGAACTGTTTCCATTACCTGTTTGTTCATTTTTTCTTGGTTTCCCAGGGTCTCATGTACGTATTTACTCAATTCTTCAAACTTTTTGTTATACTTCTCATCCATTTCTATAAAGGTGTTTTTTACATATTGTTTAAGGGACTCTATTGCTTTCATAAAGTCGATTTTTTCCACTTCTTCTGTGTTAGGGTGTTCAAGTCCTTCTGTTGTAAGATCATTGGGTTCTGGTGCTTTCATGTTGTTTTTCAGCTTATTGGGAGAATTTTTGCCTTGGCGCCTGCCCATCTCCTCCTATTGACGATCTCTAATTGGTCTTTTAAAACCAGATCAGGTTTCCCTGCTGGCCAGAGGCTCCTCTTGCAAAATTCCCTCGTTCTGTTTCCTGGCTCCTGCCAGGGGCCAAGATCCCTCTCACCCCTCAGACGGGTCTTCAGGAAAAGAACCAGGTTCCCTGTTTGCCCGGGACCTCGCCAACCAAAGGCCTACCTCTTTGATTTAATTGTCCTGGGGCGATCTGCTCTTGGTGTTGCCCTGGTCCCTGTCGCCTGTGTTTTCTGCCACTGTGTCAGTACCCGCCAGTCCCGGCCGCTGCGCCACCGCCCATGCCTTTTTTACACTGAGCAAATCTTGGCAGACCTCTGCAGAGAGAGAGATTCAAGACAAGTGCCCCAAACTCAGGGGGCTGGCAGTGCAATTGGGGAACCAGTCAGAAAATTGCCGGTCTTGCATAGACACGCGATGTATGTGGTGAAGGAAGCATAGGAATTGCACAAATAGCAATCAGCCAACCCGTGTACTTTCCGGGCACCCCCAGCTCAGCTGGTGACCGTTCCCACCACACAATATCCTCGCTCCTGAGGTCTCTGAGGCCCCATCATTGGCTCACCTTCTTTCTGTCCACTACAGTACAGACATGCGTACTTGCTCCAGCCCTCCCAGTTCCTTGGGGACTTGTGTGACTTCTCTGACAAGGAAGTTGAAGACTGTGTCACCACTCGGCCGTGCAGAAGTCAAGTGCGATGTGAGGGCTTTGTGTGTGCGCAGACAGGTATGAGTGAGTGTGGGCATGGGGAGAGAACGTGAAAAGCAGAATGTAGCATGTGGTGATGGAGGGACAGACATAGGGTTCATGATCAGGGTTGTGGGGCAGGTCAGGGAGACCCCTTACTGTAAGCCTTAAGCCTCCTTTTCTGTGTATCATCCCATGAAAGCATGCCTACGGTAAGGTGGTATCATTATTATTCCCATTTTGCATCCTATGAAATTGAGGCCCAGGGAGGTTCCTTGCCACATAGCATCCAGCAGGTCAGTGGAGGGGCTGCAGGTGAGAATCTGGAAGCTCAGCTGTATTCCCTGACTCTAGAACTTAGACGTGCTGGAATCACAAATTGTCCTGGGTTAGTCTTAATCTGACTGTGGGATATAGAAGATCTTTAATCTCTTTGGATTTTAATACATTAATGTCAATTGAGTGTTAGATTTAGTTACTTTGCTATTGCTAAGATACCATGACCAAGGCAACACCTCTTAATCTTTCCCAGATAGTTCCACCAACTAAAGATCAATTATTCAAGGATATGAGCATATGAGACATTCCCGAGCAAACCACCACATGGGGTGATATTCATCCCTTACAATGTGGTCATGAGCATCATGTGACAAATGGAGGTAACAGCTCCCTGTCACATATTAGCTCTGCTACTGCTCTCAGAACCCTGGGGAGTGGGGGGGGGGGGTTAAAGATGCCCAAACCAAAACGGGTGAGAGCTTTGATCCCTATTACTTACCACCAAAGGCTTTAGAAACTTGGCCTTGTGGTTAGCGCTTCTGCTTCAGTGAGTCTACCATGAGTCCAAATGTGTGATGAACTGAATAAAGATGTTGGCCTTTTACAAGGAAGGACAGTGGATATAGAAGAGAAGTGGGGAAACGGAAGAAGGAAGCCACACACAACGAATGATTATCTACTGCAGGACCTAGGAAAGACTGTTTTCCCAACTGATCCGCTCGCTCGTCTGAGCTCAGGAAATCTGTCTCCATTTATTCTCTCGCACAAACAGAGATACATCGCCCTAAAGTCTCTAGAGGGTGTTCCATTCACTGTGGCCATGTGGATTGTGGTCGAGAGCTTCTGAAAGACAGACAGCGATTCTCAGAAAGATCCCTGGGTCTTACTGCAAATGTAAAATTCCATCCAATAAATCTGAGAGGTTATTTTTTTTTAACAGTGTACCCAAGGGCTCGTTATGGCCAGTGTTCCATGGTTTTGCCTAGAGCCATAAAGGTTGTTCGTGCGGGCTTTACTTTAAATGCCTTGTAAGAAACATTTGAAGACCAGATTGTTATTTTTTTCTGCCTTCTATAACTGAAGGACATTGTTTTAAATGACCCAATATGTCTAAGGAAGCAGAGCCACCTGTCATGTGGGCTTTATCTCCCTGAGAATGCACAAATACGAGAGAAAGTGAAGTCATTGAGAGAAAGTTGGGGGGGGGGGATGATGGCGCTGAAGGCAATGTGTGTTAGGGAAAAGATTAGGCAGGTAAAGGTCCCATTTGTGCTGCAATGACTTCCTTCTGATGTGTGCTTGCCTCTCCAAAGCACTTACTCCAGCCACAATTGGCTTTCCATGGTTTGCGTGAGCGGGTTCCGGTTTATTCCTTCACTCACAATAACTGTGTCATGGCTGGATGATTGTGATGACTTCCACCTTACAGATGAGGAAATGGAGGCCAGGAGGTTGGTTCCCGGATACATGATGTCTTAGTGGGTGCCATTCCGAGATGCCATCCACCACTTCTTCCTAGCCTCCGTGACAGGAGGAGGGATAGTTTCAGATACCAACCTACTTCTTAGGGACATTGACTTCCCCTTCACAGGTGGTTCCAGATAATCTCTCCTCAGTGCTTTCAAAACTGTGACACTGACTGAACTTGTTGGGGGACAAGAAAGGGATGTACTGTTAGCATCATTTTCAGTCAGGGCTGATACACGAAGACTGATCAGAACAGGCCTAGCCACATGCCTGGCACCAGTTGTGGCTTTGCCTCTCATCACAGCCACGTGAGTGTGGTCCCCTCTCTCCATCCCAGGGAGGTGTGTCAATCGCAGACTCCTCTGCAATGGGGACAATGACTGTGGAGACCAATCAGATGAAGCGAACTGTAAGAGGATTTATAAAAAATGTCAACAGGAAATGGAGCAGTACTGGGCGATTGGCAATCTGGCCAACGGGTGAGTTGCTGCAGTCACGCTGGGCGGATGGAAAGGCACAGTGTTAAATGGAATTCTGAAGGATGGACCAGGGCTGGAAAGGGACACTTACTTGCTCTCCTTTCTAGAATAGAAAGCCTGTAGTGTATTCCATGCATTCTCTGAGGTCTACTCCTTGTTGTTCCAAAAGCACATGCCGTGAATAGACATGGGTCACAGGAGGGTTGACCCAGGAACACTAAGACAGTTGAAGGGCTGGAGTGAACTTTATTCTTTTTTTTTTTAAATATTTATTTATTTATTTATTTATTTATTTATTTATTATGTATACAATATTCTGTCTGTGTGTATGCCTACAGACCAGAAGAGGGCACCAGACCCCACCACAGATGGTTGCGAGCCACCACGTGGTTGCCGGGAACTGAACTCAGGACCTTTGGAAGAGCAGGCAGTGCTCTTAACCACTGAGCCATCTCTCCAGCCCGTGAACTTTATTCTTAACGCTTACAATTTGTTGTGTCGGGGGAATTCTAAGCATGGCTCTAGAATCCTACAGACAACATACATCATAGGTTCGATCTGGTTTTCTTCCTAGTTCCCAGCATCCTCCATGCTGAAAAGAAGGAACTTCTGAGCACTTTGTAAAGCAATGATTTTTCAGACTAGATCTGTAGTCTGTGTCTCAGCTCCTGGGGATGTAAGTATCAGTCCAATCTTCTGTAAGGTCAAAGGAGCAAGGTCAGAAAGGGCCAAACAGGCCCAGTATTCATTGTACTTTCTTGCCATGCCCTGTAGCATCTAAGCCATCTAAGCAGATGGATAGGTGAGACCAGCTCTTTCTGCACGATAGGAATCACCAGAAAGAATGCCATTGGAAAGAAAGGCAAGGAATACGACTAGAATTTATCTCCTCCCTAGACAACTGCCTATATTGGCCCTTAAAAGTGTGTGTGTGTGTGTGTGTGTGTGTGTGTGTGTGTGAGAGAGAGAGAGAGAGAGAGAGAGAGAGAGAGAGAGAGAGAGAGAGAGAGAGAGGGAGAGAGAGACTCTTCACTTGAATAGGAGCTCTTCTCAGGGCTGAGACCCTCCAAAGACAAGTGAGTTCCAAGGGTCAAAGCTAGGACTAAGCAGAGAAAGCATTCAAAGTCAGTAGTGGAGTCCCAACTAAGCCGATAGGAGAGCTACTTTCCCTGGAAGAAGCAGAGCACACGGGTAGAAGAACAAAGCCCTGAAGCCAGGGCTGTGTTGGGGAAGGTCTGAGATGAAAATGCTAAGCTGGCAAGACTAGGGAAATGGCTCAGTAGTCAAGAACTCTGGCTGCTCTTCCAAAGGATCTGGGATCAATTCCCAGCACCTACAAGGTGGCTCACAACTGTCTTAGAGGATTTGATGCCTTCTTCCGACCCAACATACCAGGCACGCACATGGTCCACAGACACATAGATGGGCAAAACACTCATAGACATGAAATAGCAACACAAAGTTCTAAAAAGAGAGGGTTGAGTTGGCATGAACCAGATTCCCAGGACCTTGCTTGTGGAACCAGTTCTGAGTTTCATTCAGTGGGATCTGCTAAGCTCCAACAGAGGTGACACAACCCCGAATCCTCACCTTTCCACCCTGTCTGTGCCTCCCTTCCAGGATAAACCTGTTCACAAATACTTTTGAGGGTCCAGTTCTTGATCACCGGTACTATGGTGGCGGATGCTCCCCTCACTACATCCTGAACACCAAGTTTAGGAAGCCGTACAATGTGGAAGGCTACACCCCACAGGTAAGGGACAGCCAGGCAGCTGTTGCTGGCAATGAGGGAATCACTGACCGAGCACTCTGAAGCGTGCTAGCTCTGTAGCTTGTCTGTGCCCCTTTCTCTTGGAGCCCCAGTGTCTTCTGGTAGCAAGTGGGCGTACCCTAGCACAAAATCTTGTGCTGACAATGTCACCTATCACAGCAACAAGAGTTGTGATAGCGGTAATGTCAATACAGTGTATCAATAGCTCCACTGAAGACGGAGCATGGGATCGGGCGTCACACAGCTGAACCAGCTTGTCTGCTTGTCGCCTACGCAGTCCTAAATGCTCAGCACCTCTATTGTCCTGTCTTTATAAGGAACTTATAAGCTTCAACCATGAAGTGACACGGTCAGTGAGATGGTGTGGCTGAGCGGACAGCATCACACACCTGCTGTCACAGAGAGCCCTCGGCTCACGCTAACACTTGTTCCCATCACTACCATGCCCTTGTCTCTCAAGCCAGGCCTTGGGCTCTGTACTGAAAGTTAGAAAATGCTCTACTGCCGGGGCTGGAGCAATGGCTCGGGGATTAAGAATGGTTGCTGCTCTGGCAGCTGACCCGGGTTCAGTTCCCAGCACCCACATCAGGTGGTTCACAACTTTCTGTAACTCTGTTCCAGGGGATCTGACAGGCTCTTCTGGGCTCTGTGGGCACCTTCATTTACAGATACACACGCGCGCACACACACACACACACACACACACACATGTACACACACAAAGAAACCTTTAAAGATGGCGCTGCACCCATATAAATCTGTACTGATTTGTATGTACTCTCAGACACACCAATCACAGAGTAGAGTATGCAATACACCATGTACGTACACTACCAGAACCTTGCCATCTAAAGAGAAGATGTTTTACTTTAGGTCAAATTTCTGTCCCACTCTGCCCTTGGGTTCCTTGTCTGTGAACTAAAGATGGTTGACTGAGAAACTCGTCTAGGTGGTGGTTTCCATGACCACAGATGCATAGTTCTGAAGCATAGGCAACTTCCTTTCTCCTCATCCCCCTTTTCTGGTTCTTTCTGCAACACTGGCTGGCCTAGGACTAAGCAGACCTCCCATCAAGTGCTCTAGTCCGTCTCTGAACCTCCGCTTTCCAAGGACACGGTGCAGGAGCCAGATCCCAGCCCAGATGCCATGTAGAGCTTCCAGCTGCTACTCTCCCTAGCCGACATTGACTGAGGGCTCTGACAGGCTCCTGTGTGAGCCTGGTCCTCAGGACAGGTCTAAGGAGAAGGACAATTGTCCTCTCCATTTTCTACATGGGGAAACCGGGGCCTGGAGAAATCAGTTGTCCCAAGTCATCCACTTAGAGGGAAGCTGCGCCAGGGTTCCAGGAGCCCCCACCCCCTTTAGGCCACATCTATGTCATCACTGTTCCCTTCCCGGGCTGTGGATTTTATAGACATTTCAAGTTTCCAGATGCCCGTGGAAGTGGAGGTGAAGATGCTGGTCTCTCCAGGTCTATCGAGATACTGCCCCTGCCAGTTCCCCTATGCAAAACAATGAGCACTAATGATTTAGAGTGCAGCTCTGCCGAGCTCTCGAAGACAAATGGAGAAATCGGTCTTCACTCCCCGGCTGCTGCCCCAGTCCCGCATCATTAGTGCACCGCGCTTCTCACACCTCCTTCCTCTTGGCTTGTGACTCCACCTTTAGATTCGCTCCTTCCAGCCTAATGGGCATGCTGTCCCAGAATGGCCACCCCACTCCTTCCTTTCTTGGTCATGTTTGCAGTAAGCCACAGTTCAGAATAGAGAGTCAAAAGCCTCCATAATCCAGAATGTTCCTTTACAACACCCACTCTGATTCCCTCACTAGCGCCTTCTGATTCAACTACACTGGCATCCAGGCACTTGCTGAGACCTTCCTGCTTTGCGTCAAGGCTCTGTAGAAGACCAATCCACAGCCCTGGACACCCCCACACCCTGCATTCCTTCCAACCTGAGCATGATCTGTGGTACTGAATGTGTCTGTCTCTCTGGCTGGAGCAGGGGTCTTGAGTTAGGGATGTGAGCTGTCCCCGATAGTTATGTCTGTCCAGAGTCGCTACACAGCTTAGCTCTGCTGTGCAGCAAGAACACAGTAGACACCTGAGGACGATTTCAACCAAAGCATATTTAAAACATGTTTTCTTTTTTTCCGTATAGACCCAAGGCGAGTATGAATTCGCATTTACAGAATATGAATCATATTCAGATTTTGAAGGCAATATGACAGAGAAAGAAGATGGCAAGTTTGATTTCAAGTTCGGTTTTAAAATACCTAGCGTGTTTGAGCTCGGGGTTAAAGGAGAATGCAGCAAAAACCAACATTACATGAGCAGAATAAAACGATTCTCCTACACTGTAAGTACCTGTCTGGGGCCTTTAGTTGCTTGTTTTTAAATGGTGTTTTCATTTATTCTATGAGAATTTCATAAACATTTTTTTTTTTGGTTTTTCGAGACAGGGTTTCTCTGTAGCTTTGGAGCCTGTCCTGGAACTAGCTCTTGTAGACTAGGCTGGTCTCGAACTCACAGAGATCCGCCTGCCTCTGCCTCCCGAGTGCTGGGATTAAAGGCGTGCGCCACCACCGCCCGGCTCTCATAAACATATTTTGATCATATTCATTCCCATCCCCAACTCCTTCCAGGTCCTCCCTCACGCCACTTCCCACCCAACTTAAAGTTCACTCTTGCTCTTGACAAACATCAGTTTATTGCTTTTAAGTGTATGTGTGTGTTCTTTTATGCTCACAGATGTGTCTGAATTTCAAATGATTCCTGGTCCAAGTAAATAAGACAGTTTCTGTTGTCCTGAAATTCCTCTCATAGATGGCATCTTAGTCTCACAATGACTTACGTTTTGGAGACGTCAAGCCTAGTCATGTATTTTTTATTTTGTAAAAGCCCTTTGCTTTGGTTTTCAATAAGCTTAATGTGCAGATTTGCCCCCCAGTGAAACCTGTCTGGACATTTTTTTCAACCCACTGTAATCTGACTTTTGTTTGAGATAAATGTCTGGAAAGTGAGCCCACTCTTCTGCGACTTCCTAGATGTCTGGTGGGGTTGTCTTTACCATCACCCTGTCCTTGTCCTGCTTTTTTCCTACCCCTTATCAGTTCCCCCACCTCAGGTTACTAGCCCAGGCGGCTTTGCCTTGTGCTGCCCTGATACACAGTCTCTTGGCTCCCACCTTGCCCCAGAGCTGTTCCACAATACCAATCTAATCATTGTCTGTCCCTTGCTGACCACGAGGTAAGCACAAAGCCAATGACTTGGTGGGAAAACCGAAATGGGCAAGGGAAGTGACTGGGATAAAATGTTAAAGAAACAGATGATTGAGGTAAAGAGGATACACATTTTCAGCGACTCACTGAGAATTTTCACCTAGGAGTCATGTGCTAGGCAATTAATCCAGGGAGATAGAAAAGAAAAGAGACCAAGACCCAAAGTCTATAGCGCTTTATATGAAAGCAAAAGAAACCATAAGGGATTCCAAAAGGCCTCTGCTAGAGATACAGTCAATGGCAAGAAGCAGGCGGTCAGCATTCATTAGTATGTAACTATCTTCCATCTGTTGGCTTGTCTTATGGGCTGGGGGCCTTTGGGGTACAGATCTGGTTCCTTCATATCTAGACAGGATGGCGCATAGCAGGCACTCACCACAGATTAGTAGGAACGAAGGACAGGACTAATCATAGAAATAGGCTTTATTATGATGGAAAATGGTGGGTACCATCATGCCCCGCCTTCTCCTCCTCCTCCCCCATCCTTACCTCCTCTCCCTGATTCAAATAATCAGTCTGCAGTGGTAGCATGTATATACCCTGACATGACCTAAGACAAATTCTACAAGGTTCCTTTTGTTCAATTAAATGTACTATCTCAAAAAGCGGGTATCTTTATGGGTTACAGTGTGATAATTTGGTCCATGTATGCAAGGTCTAATGACCAAATCAAAGGAATTAGCTTTTCTGTCTCCTTAATATGCAACTGTTTTGTTGGGCATCTTCAAACTTATCTCTTGAAGCTCCTTATAAAATATATAATGAATTGTTCTTGCCTTTATAGTCTCAGTCTAGTGGGAGATGTAAGCTTGTAAGCAATAAATCACTTTATCATTTATATCAGCTGCAATATAGCACAGTGGAAGTAACAAAGGAAATGTGGGTGATGTGTTCTGCAAGCTTAGAAGAGGAGAGAGTATCTGGGGCTTCCAGGGATGGTAGTAAATAGCCAAGAGCCAGTAAGACACGTAAACATGTGCCCAGAAGAGAGGGAAGAACTTAGAAGCAGAGGGAACAGTCGCGACACAATCACCTCCTGCAGGTTTAGGCATCAGTCCAGAGTTGGTTTAAGTCTGATCTACAATGTGGCTTATGGAAAATGGACAGGCATGAAGAGGACCACTCAAGTCAGGGAAGCTGGCAGCAGTCAGAGAACTGGTGAACCGAATGTGAAGGTTATCTATCCAAAGAAAGAGAGTCGATTACATCAGAAGGCAATAGTAAGCTGATACACCCATGTTTGTTTGTTTGCTTGCTTGCTTTTGCCTGCAGGAGGTTTATCATAATGTTCGCAGAGGTTTAGGATCTTACTCTGACTAGGGAAGTGAAAGCAGATTAGCGAGAGAATGGAGAGCAGAGAGGAAGTTTTATGATAATATGTCCCCTGAAATAGCAAGCAGAAGACTGTCAGAGACTCCTTGGTGTATTTGGGAACAGCAGAGTATCGCAATGGGAGTGAGCATGCTATCGTAAATTATATATGTTCCCAAGGGGATTGAGGCGAAAGAAGTTTTTAAAGGCAAAAATGAGAAGGATTGCAAACAAAAATCTTAGGCCACAGGGTACTTACTAACACCATGGGTGCCACCATTCTGACGCTGGGCAGTAACTGGTTAAAGGTCCTTGAAGTAGCGTACTTTTGCGTGTGATTGCCGTGACTGTCTTCCATGGCAGTTCCTATTATTACACAATCACGAATGAGTGCCCTTCCTTCGTAACTTCCAGGCCTGATGGATTTTTACTTGACTTTTGTGAGGGGTGGCACAGTCAGCTCCATTTTGATTCTGACAACTTTCATAAAGCTGCAGAGAGGAGACAAAGCCTAGCAGACTTGGGAAAGGCATGAACCAAGTACTCGTGGTACGAGAAACAGGGTTCGAACCACTGGACAGGACTAGAATGGGGCGACCACAAGCCAGGTTGGACCGAAGTTGGGGGTTTCAATGACAGTGCATGGAAGGCTGAGTAGCTCATTAGAGCTGAAGGGCTTGGTTGAAATAGAGTTCTCCCCATCTCCACCATCCCTCTTTCCCCCGTGCAAGGACCTAGATACCCCATACAAGGACCCGTCACCTTACATTGTGGTGATACCTAGCTCTCATCTGGCAACACTAGCATTCAGTCTATGCCACAAGTCCAGAGACCCCAGACTTTTCCCGAGAAGGATCAGAGCAAATAATTGAGGTTTTACACAATACTGAGGGAAGGGTCTGTGTCGCAACTACACCACTCTGCCACTGCAGTGTGACCATATGTAAATGTTGCAACTAGGTGCTGTAGACAATATGCAAATGAATGGGAATGGTAATGTTTGCAAAACAGGCAGTAGATACATTCTACATGTCATGGTTTGCAGACGCTTGCCACGGTCACCTTAGCAAAGCACTGTTGTTAGACATGAGTGGTTTGGGGTTTTGTTTTCAAAAGATACAGGCAAATGGTGGAGGTTCGCAAGTTAGCAAATTCTGCTCCCATCTGAGTGGCCTCCAGTGGCCACATTCACCCTGTAGTGCGGGTTTCTGATTCTTCTTCATTATCTTCATCTGCTCCCATAATGAGATCAGCACTCATCCAAGCCAAAAAGACGCTGGAATATTTACGAGAATTGAAATCTTCTCAAAGAGACTGTCTTCCCTTAGATATCCCGAAGGAATCATAAGACAATGACCCCGGGCAAGAACACTGGATGGTAGTTGTAAAATCCATCTTCCTGTTCACGATTCCTAACTGTAAAGACCTGTTTTTCCCATGTTGGTATTTCATCCAGAAAAGCAAGTTTCTGCATGCGCGCTCTGTCCTTGAAGTGACTCATTACAAGCTGAAGTCCAGAAGCCTCATGCTCCATTACGAATTCCTCCAGAGGGTGAGGAGCCTACCCCTCGAGTACAGCTATGGGGAGTACCGAGATCTCCTTCAGGACTTTGGGACCCACTACATCACCGAGGCCGTGCTTGGGGGCATTTATGAGTATACGCTCATCATGAACAAGGACCTCATGGAGCGAGGAGGTACGCTGTCCAAGGGACACCCCTGTCCTGGCCAGCCCAGGAGGGATAGTGATAAAGTCTTACACTAATGCTCGGGGGAAGAGTCTTGAACTGTGTCCCCATTTCCCTCCCCCTGACCTAGCTGTACCTCCACAGATGACTTGGTCTTCATCCTTCTCTCTTCGGTTTGGCCATGTCTATCCTTGCAGCCCAGCTCTCTCTTTGGGATGACCTTCCTTTCCACAGCTGCTGCATCCAGTGGGATCCAAGCTTTTGATTTATCAAGTTGCATATTCCCCCTGAATCACTGGACCACCGCACCTGCTTTCTTCTATAGTTTCTAAGTCTCAGAAATGGTTCCACCAGCCAGCCAGAGGCACAAGCCAAGAGCTTAGGCATCAACCTCAATTTCTTTTCTATTGTCCAACAAGTTTCTTCAGATCGACCTCCAGATTTCTTTTTCTCTTTTTTTCATGTGTTTGTGTGTGTGCGTATATGTACGCACATCATGGTGTGAACACAGGCACGTGTGGGTTCATGTGTAAGCAAATGCACATGCATACGCAGGCCTGAAGTTGATGCCAGAATTCATCCTCTATGCTCTTCCACAACAGTAATTGGAACAGAGTCTCTCAGTCAATCCCAGAGCTCGTCGATACGGCTAGTCTCCATAGCCAGCCTGCTGTGGGGATCCCCTGTCTCCACATTTAGGGGCTGCAATTACAGGCAGGCCTCCATGCCCACTTGGCCTTCACATGGCTTTCTGGAGATCCAAACTCTGTTACTCAGTTTGTAAGACAAACACTCTGCCTCTCCTTATATTAGAAGCCCCAGTCCTTATATTGGGTTTTACAGTTAATACCATAGGCTCATCCTGTGACCAATGCTTCATTCACACTTGAATTTTAATGTGAATATGAATTCATTATAGGTAAATCTTTGCTGTGATTGATCTGATTCAGCAAAGTCGAGGCAAGATCCAAAGTCTCCCAGGATACTCTTGCTATTGAGGGGTCACTGTGGTTCCTCAGGTGAATGGTCAGTCCCAACACTCCTCTCTCTCTCTCCTCCCATCTTGCCTATAGATATTCCAGATCTTTCCAACTGTCTTCAACTACCAGCCTAGGCTATGGATCCTGCTTTCCAATCCAGTACTCTGCCTCTTGTCTGGTTATGGGAACTGCTCTAAGTCACTTGGGTTCCATCAGCAGGGCCAGAACTTGCAAGAGCAGGGCCAATGTACTTGCAAGAGCAAGATTGTAAATACATGTCTTCCGGACTTGGGTCTACCACAATCATAAATGGTCTAGAGAAACATACGACTCAGGGAGATATTCTATTGATGCCACCCTCAGAGTTTCTCCAGAGGACTGCCAGAGAGAGAGAGAGAGAGAGAGAGAGAGAGAGAGAGAGAGAGAGAGAGAGAGAGAGAGAGAGAGAGAGAGAGAGAGAGAGAGAGAACCCTGCCACATTTCATGCACAATCAGCAAATTTGCATGGCCATGAAGGCTCTTTTTCTTGTAACACCGATTATCTCAATGAGATTTGTATTTTAAGGGTTTGGAATATTCTGAGGGAAATTCTGTTCCACATTAGCAGTGCTGGAAAACCTGGTAGTCAACAAGCCTGTCTTCCTCAGTCAGAGTTAAAGCAAGCCCCAGGGAGGAAGATTCCTTGGGGAGAATTTTGGGGGAAGGGATGAGGTAGGAAGGAATCCTCGAAGAATAAGGAACATCTGTGCACCCACCTCCAGGCACTTTCAGACTTGTATATGCATTTCTTCAACCAATTAATGCAGCCCTTTTCCTCCATTATCAAAGATCAGAAAAATGGAGACCAGGGAAGGCAAATGATAGAGCTTCCTTGTAACCTCTGGATCAGCAATCACTAGCTACCTGTCCTGACTAGTCTTATGTCAACTTGACTCAAGCTAGAGTTATCTAAGAGGAGGGACTGTCATTTAAGAAAATGCCTTCATCAGATCCAGCTGTAGGGCATTTTCTTAAGTAGTGATTGATGGGGGAGGGTCCATCCCATTATAGGTGGAGTCAGCTCATGGCTGGTGGTCCTGGGTTCTATAAGAAAGCATACTGAGCAGGCCATGGAGGGAAAGCTAGTAAGCAGCACTCTTCCTCTGTATCAGTTCCTGCCTCGGGGTCCATGTCTTATCCTGACTTCCTTTGATGGTGATCTGTGGTGTGGAAGTGTGAGCTAAATAAACCCTTTCCTCCCCAACTCGCTTTTGGTCATGTGTTTTGTCACAGCAAGAGTAACCCTAACGAAGAGAGTGCCTGATAAGGAGTCTGGTTTTTAGAGGCTAGCTTTGAACATGTGACCTCTTTGAAGGTTGCAACTATCCTTAGAGACAGAGGAGGAGGAGGCTGGAACATGAACTTGGGACTGATCTCTGCGGGGTCTCTGCCATGGCCCCTATACTACTTGTCTCCGGATCAAGGACATTTGAACTTAGGATCCTATGACACCAAGAAGGGTTAGGGTTAGAGTCAATCCCAGGAAAAGGGATAGAGCAAATGACCTAGTAGATCAAGGACATCTTTTCTTATTCCTTCAGATTACACTCTTGACCATGTTTCTACCTGTGCGGGAGGAGGTGGCCACATTGGTGGTAACTTGAAAGTCCACCTCAAATTGGGTGTGTCGGCAAAGAAATGCAATGATATTCTGAATGAAATCAATGGTGAGTCAGACTCGAGCCTTCTGCACTTGCAGCCTTTCTCTCCCTAGCGCTATTGGCCCCAGGCTTTCTTTAAGCATGTGATACTCCAAAGCATTTCAATGAAAATAACAGTCAATCTAATAAAATCTACCTGTTTCCACTAGTATAATGAAATCCAAAAAACGAATGTGGTTGAATTCTCATATTCACAGTGAGTATTTGAGGTAGGTAAAAAGCAAAAAGGCCAATATCCAGGCTGAAACCTTAAGGCCAAGTTTCCATCGCTGTGAATTATAACCTGAGTATGAGGATCACTGCATCATAGTGAGGATAGCGTCACACTGCTCTGGATGCTAAGAGTGGTCCTGGCTAGCAATAGAATGTGGGGGGCCAAGGCAACATGGCAGAGGCTGGGTCTTATCTCAGATAATGCATGCCAAAGAGAATAGCAGATCTGGTATAGCACCAGCCATATGGCAGAGGCCACATGACAGAAAAAGCCAGTCTAGAGTTGGGGGTAAAGCCAGCCTGGGTATAGACCCAGGGTCTAGGAGCAAGATACCTGGATGCAGTATGGGGAGCTGGGAAGTCAGCACATGTAGAGTAGGGATGAGACTGGATGGCAGTGTTCTGATCCTAGCTCTCCCTCTTCCTCCCAGTCACCTCTGTACTGTGCTGCCTGCCATGTGAAGAACCCCACAGTGGAAGCATTCTGTAGGAAAGCACAAACACGGGAATCAGCTGCCAGCCTAGAGCAGCCATTTACACTTGAGAATGAGTGGCCGATATTGCTGATTATCTGTTCCTTGTGGTGGGGCAGGACACATTAAACTCTTTTAAAGAGGCTTGTAGCTTAGTGCCTATACAGGTCCCTGAACAGAACATTGCTGGCACCCACAAAGCCTCACTAATTACAATGTCTCTCTCCCTGTCTGCCCACCTACTTACCAATCTATTATCTGTCATAGATAGATAGATGATAGATAGATAGATAGATAGATAGATAGATAGATAGATAGATAGATAGGCAAAGCAATTGTATGTAGATGATATATACAGAAAGATGATAGATAAATAGGCATATAGGTGATAAGGAGATGACAGATAGATATAAGATCTATCTATCATCAGTCACTTTCTTCTCTCTGTCTCGTGTATACTACTGCAATAATCAGCATTTGTATATGTTCATGGTGAATCTTCTATCCTGTTCTCCTCATCTGTGCTCTGCACGATCGGGTAAGTTTCCAGTTGCCCTGGGCACTATCACTTGCCTATGGTCAGGAACACATCTTCTTCTTCCATGTCACCTATATAAACTTACAAAGAATCATGGCACCTCACCTGTTGTTTAGCTGAAGTAAATGCCAAGGCAGGAAAGTAGATCTTTTGACTCCATGCTACTCTTCTTGTCCGCTCCAGACAGAAACAAGAGGACCACCATGGTGGAAGACTTGGTGGTTCTCGTGCGAGGAGGGGCGAGTGAGTACATTACCACCTTGGCGCACAAGGAGCTGCCAACAGCTGAACTGATGCGGGAATGGGGAGATGCTGTACAGTACAACCCAGCAATCATCAGACTCAAGGTACCAGCAGCCACTGTGCGCACTCCACCTCTGTGTAGAACACGGGTTCTGAGAGTCTGCGTGAGCTGGGTGTGGAATGTGGAGATCGTCAAGGCACAGGCAACAGTCTTGAGTTACTTGCATTATACTAGAAAATAGATGTGGGAATAACTGACTAGAACACAGCACGCCATGTCACCTAAAGTTCCCAAGCTCCCCACTTGGTCCACAAGTCTTTAAGGAAATTAGCCTCTGCCATGCTCTAAGAAGGTACCAGAGGCACACAAAGCCATGACAAGATGGAAGAGATGCCTAGGAAGGACAGTAAGTCAGCAGCGTGCATACCCATCTCTTGGGATCGTGCAAGATGTGGTGGTGATAGCTAACGTATTTGAAGTACCTACTGAGTTCGCAACACTCTGAGGGGGAGTTAGGAATGTTATCTGGAGTAATGCTTCCAGCGGTCTGCATGTCAGATATGCCTGCCTTCTTCTGTGACATGCCAAGGGTCAGGAAGGCCATGTCCGTCCGTGGCTGCTCATGAATTCGTTAGGGCTAGTCAAGAGAGTCTGTCTTCTTTGCCCCCATTATGGGCTTGGGGAATAGGAAAATAATGACTCTCACCACCCAACTCCCACACTAGGAGAGGCTTGCGACTGAGAATAAACTAAAGAGATGCTTGTTAAAACAGGCCTGTCACACACATCAGCAACGGTAGGTCCTTGCCTGTGGGGACATTTGCACAGTACCCCTGGCGTACCGTACATCCCTCTCTTCTTGCTGGTGCCTGTACTGTCATTGATGGGCCATTGTCCACCCCCTGAGAGTTCTCTCGGCAGTCAAGGAGGGAAAATGGGGGACTGGACCTTGATGAGAGACTCGGCAGTCCTGACCCTGATGATTTTTCCAACAGGACCTGGATTTGTGTGTCAAATGCACAGCTCCATAGAACACGAAGGTTGTCATTCAATTCTTGCCCATGTATTTAGTCACTAGTGACACTCACAGCACCATCGATGATAATCATAAGCGATGCGGCTAGCCATGGGCTGCAGGCAGCTGGAGAGACATTCGAGCTTGACTGATGCCGGGGTGACACTGGATGACATCACAGCCAGGTGTGAGAGAGAACAGGGAGTTTGGAGGAAAATAGGCTTCTGAATTTCTGTCCTGTATTGGGATATCTTATCTGGTATTTGTTAAAACTGAGACCTAAGGTGGATGGCTTGGTGACCCCGTGAGGCCGAATGTGCCTGTCTGGGCGAGGGACTGTCGAGGTCAAACTGGTTCTATCAAGCAGAGCACGCTGGAGGAGAGTGATTTAAGGAGCACAGCAGGAGAGAGGCGTAGAAGGGCAGAAGACTTTGACGCACCTCTGTGCATCTGTCACCTGCTCTGCAAACATGCTCTCCCATCCCCGCTCCATGCGCTCTCTCTGGTCTCAGAAGCTGCAGGCTGCTTTCACATTATCTCAGAATAAGGCATCTCGACAGAGGCGGCTTTCCGGGAGGAGTGATGACTGATTTTTTTCAGGACAGCAGAGCCCACTGGATAAACAATTCCCGTGCCACTGCCTGGGTGTCATAAATTGTCCTTTGAGAAGACCTGAGATGAGATTTCTGCAGCTGCAAGGTATGCGAGCAAGAACTAGCTCGTGCTGCTTCCTGGTAAATACAGACAGGGAGAGGTGGCACCTTGTTAAAAGAAGAGTTAGGGGTGGCAGTGGCTAAATAAAGATTTTTTTTTTTAGAACAAGAAAGATGGAAATTATGTTCAAGCTGCAAAAAATGAGCACGCCTGTAAAATAGAAAAATGGAAGTAAATTTGAGAATGCGTTTGCTTTGTGACAACAATAAAATTCAAGAAAATGAGGAATTTATGAAATGAAAATAGAAGCTGAGCTGTTTAGACACTAATCAGATGAAAAGAAAGTAGCTGGATGTGGGGAACCAGGGACGCAAGGGCAGAATTAAAACCCACATTGGAAACTGTAAAGAACTGAGTTGACACTGCAGAAAATTGAGTCGGTGATGTGGAAGGCACTATAAAAATGCTCTTATAATGTGGAAACAAAAGACAACGAGATTAAAACAGTGATGGGAAAGAAAGATGATGGATAGAGAAGAGAAGTGGGAATCTAAGACATAGAGAGTCCTTCCTGAGCAAGCCGCGAGATTAAATGTGTGCATATATCCATCAGGCGTAGCAGAGAATCTGCCCTGCACTGACAACACAGGATGAACACGGTGCTAAAACTCAAACAGAAGTACTGAAAACAAAACAATCCTGCTGCCACACACCCCTGCTGACATGTTTTCCTTGTAGGAACAAATGTATCCCCCAGTAGTAAAAATCAAACGCCAGAGCCATTCCAACGCGCAGCGTACCGGCGACCCTGGTCTTGAAAGGAAAAAGCTTGCCACCTGGTGAAATGCTTCTCAGTGGGTGAACTCCAAGGGCATTTTGAGACAAAACAAAAACGCAAAACCCATTGCCAGATTTAGCTGATGAAAATACGGAATAGCCAGCACTGAACTTCAGATAAAGAAGGAATGAACCTCTGGGTATACGCATCTCTTGTGTATTGCACAAAACAGAACATACTACTCTTCTTTATTTTTTCTTTATTTATTTTTGGTTTTTCAAGACAGGCTTTCTCTGTGTAGCATTGGTGCCTGTCCTGGAACCGGAACTAGCTCAAATTCACAGAGATCTGCCTGCATCTGCCTCCCGAGTGCTGTGATTAAAGGCATGCGTCGCCACTGCCTATCTCTTACTCTTGAATTATTCCTTATCTGACTTTTGAATGGAACTGGGTATCTTGTGTTTTAACCAGTAAGCCTTATTCTTGGTCCGTCATCGGCATATGTTTCTGCACAGGTCAAGGTTGGAAGATGTTAGGGTTGGACTACAGCTGTTGAAAACATTGCCTTGCCTAGGGTAGAAGGAGAAACTATGACTGGGTGCTCACACTGAGGTCAGAATAGCCTAGGTCGTACTGCAAAGGAACAACCATACCCCGGTGCCTTAGTTCAGTCTGAATCAACTTCCCCATTACACATGCCAAGAAGTATTGGGAAGAATGCCCCGTCCAATAAGGTCATCCAAACACCCAGACACAGCTGATAAACACTCTGAAGAGTGCCGGAAGTCTTAAGTTACTTCACTCGGTGCTCCTGCTCACCTGTCGGTGGTCAGAAAAAGTCACACTGAAGGCCCACTTCTGAGGACCTGCAGCCCTACTGTGCACAGATCTTCCTCTGAAGACTGTAGCTCTACCATATGGAAACCTGCCTCTGAGAACTTACAGCCCTGCTGCGTACAAAATTGCCTCTGAAGAGATGTTTCCCTGCCCTATGTCAGCCTGAGTTTAAGAAGCTACAGTTCTGTGTGCTTCTGCTAAGACGCAGCCTGACTATGTGCAGCCTGCTTGTGAAAGGTTATGTCCCGAAGGAGAGCTGAAATCTTGAATCCGCAGTCGTAATGCTTTCAAGAGGCAAATTCACTCCAAGGATTCTCATAAAGCAAAAGGAGATATAAGATGAGATGTGTTGACACTATTCCTCTAAAACCCCGTCAGCCAGGAGCTCAGAAGATAACCCAGCAGTAAATTTCACACTGTACAATCATGGAGACCTGAGTCCAGCCCCTCACCCCCAGAACCCTTATAAACAAAGCCAGGTGTGGTGGGCTACCTTTGAGACACCAGTGCTGAGAAGGCAGAGACAGGCAGACTGCTGGGTTCATGGGCCAGGCAGCCTAGCCTACGCCCTGGCTCCAAGCCAGTGAGACATTGCCTCAAAAGAACGCAAGGCGCATGGTTCCTGAACATCACCCAAGGCTGGCCTCTGGGCCCCATGTGCCCCACCACAAACACACACGCATACTACAAACAAGTTCTAGTTAATAAGTAGACAGATAACGGCTACCACCAGTAGCTGATGACTTACCACAAATAAGACCCTCGTTAGGTGAAAAATGGCACGAGGAGGGTATGATCTCTAGGGAAATGGACAGCCGTCAGTTGGCTAATAAATATCCAAACTTTTAACCTGTCCCAATAAAAATAACATCATAGCGGTATTATTTTCACCTACCAAATTGACAACCATTTAAAGTCTGTGATACTCAAAGCATTGTGAGCACTGAGGGGGCCTTTTGTGAGCTAGGATGGCAATATGATTTGGCTCGAGTCTAGGAAGGTATTTTAAACCCACATCTCCATACTATTAAAAATGTTGATGGTTTTTGATCTAATGTTAATTTTTTTTAACAAATATGTATAGAGACAAATCAGCTTAGGATAGTTGTAGTAGCATAAGCTAAAAGGGCAAAGGAATCAACTGGGAGCTAAAAAGCAGAGGAGCTGAATAACCAGCCCACCTGCGTGTCCCGAAGCTGCCGAAGGTCACTTTGTCAACACAAACTGAGTCACACAGGGAGGGCCTCATGTTATTATAAGTGAAGAGATGAGATAGAAAATTGCATTTATGCACTAAATTGGTATGATTTTCTAACTGTCCATAGGTCTAAAAGTATATACTGACCAGCAGTCAACACTCCACAATGTTCAGAGTCCAAGGCCACCCTCAGTGGAGTAACACCTTTGTCAAGGTGTTAGCTTCTTAGCTTGTCTGTGCCCCAGCTTTGTCAACTGTCACAGGCAGAGCACAGGATTACCCAGTCCTCGGAGCATTGTGAAGACTTATGGGATACGTGCGTGCCTGCGTGCGTGCGTGCGTGTGTGTGTGTGTGTGTGTGTGTGTGTGGTCCCGCTCCTCGTGATGACTGGCTGTAGTGACGAGTATTTGAGAATAACAGGGCACACTGCAGAGATTTGCATGGACCTCGACAGAACTTCTCCAGCGTCACCTGTAAAGGGCGTGATGAGTAGAATGTCCTGAAGGGCAAGCGAGGCAGAGGCCCAAGTGATCACTGCAGTCAAGATGGAGTATCTAAGGGAGACGTGCCGAAGAAAGAGGTAGAGGGAATGAGGGGAGGGGGAGGACGGGTGGAAGGAGAAGGGAGACAGGAAAACGGGCAGCGGGCAAATAATGGGGGCACAGCCGTACTGACCTAACTGTAATGGGCTGCCCCGAAGCCCCACAGGGGTTCCTGCTTCACCAATGCAAGCTGCCATAGCCTGAGAAGTTTGGGGAACACATGGGTGAGGCTAGTGATGGGAACCCCTGAGGCACTCCTATCAGGAATCATCCTAAACTAGTAGGGAAAATTCAGGCTTTGGACTCCAGTTTTGATGGTAATGAGTCATGTATCTACCTGGGGCTTCCCCTCACCCAACAACTGCGCTAATCATCAACATCTCGCAAGAAACAGGCCCTTCTCTGAATCTTACCAGCTCCCAAGGTGCAAGGTATGTGGGAAGTTTATTCAGGTTTGGCTGCTGGCTAGGGCTGTGTGTCTTGGTAGGAAAACACCATGGTGGTTAAAGTAGGCCTTTCAAGGAGCTTGGAGCAAAAGCCAAAAGCTGACTGCTGAGAACCTTATCAGCGGTGTAAAGCAAGCGCCTCTCCCTTCACCCTCCCCCGCCTGTGACCAGCAGGCTGGTCTCTCTGAAAACAGTCTCTGGATCAATTCATTGACCACAGACCGTTGAGACAATGGGACCTCCAAGGAGCCTTGCTTTGCCCACTGGGGCGAAGGTCAGCATCAGATGCATTAAGAAATGGAAGCAATTTTCTTCCCACTGGAGGCTTCTATTAGGCATGATTGCCTGCGTTTAGACAGACCCTAAACTCTCCTGGGCTGAATTAGGACAGGATCACCAACAAAATCTGGAGAGGAACCAGGCCCTGGAGCTGCATCCCTAACAGAGGAACAGAATACTGCAAAAACAGCAGTGTGGCCCTGGTTCTTCTCATGGGCCGAAGCCACAGAAGCCACACCCACTGACGCCAGTGACCAGCCCCTGCAGGGGCTGCTTGTACTTTTCTAACCTCTGCCCTCTTCCCATGCCTGCTGCCACTGCCTCCCCCAGACCCACTGCATCTAGACCACTAGCCATCTTCTTCACCCTTAATCTGAGGCTGTGCCTAAAGCCAGAGAGAGCAACTCCAAGTCTCTCTCCCAGCCAGCTTCCTGTCAAATCAGAGAAGAAAATGGAGGCTTCTCATGAAAAGGTTTGATGATTATAAAGGAGCATTTGGAAAACAGAATGTTATCAAATGAATAGTATAGAGACCTCTGACGGAAGGGGTCTTGGAGTTAGGCTTCCTGGAGTGAATGCTTGGATTATATGAGTGATTCCCATGAGGCTGGAAGGAAACGATGCCGGGATCACAGTCCTATAGTATACCAAAGAGCTGTGGAAGATCACCTTCCGGGCACACCACCAAGACAGATGAGCGAGCCTCTCCAGTCCCCTCCTCTCGCCCGCTCATCTCTGCTGGTTTGGTTCTTACTCTGTGAAACCACATGGGACAGATGTGCCTTGACGCACTGTGGGATCGTGTCCAGATAAACCTGTCATGAATTGAAAATATCAAGGCAGAAATGCATTCGACACAGCTGACCTGCGGAACACAGCTTGGCAGCACTGTGGCCTGGGAGCTTCGGGAGTCTCATGACCCAGGGGCTGACGGGGCCAGATCCCCTGACACTGGTGGCTGTGCAGTACTCCCAGTAGAGCCTGGCACTAGCCGGGGAAGGTCACAGTACACTCCAACTAAATAGGAATCACTTTCTTGCCTTCCTAAGGTTGAGAGGTCCTGCATCGAACCCATTTAAGTCAGAGACTGTCTATAAGCCTCCAGTGTACACCAGTGTCTGCCTCTGTCTCTAGCTTCAAGAAGTTCCTGGGAATAAAGATCCTCACATTAAAGTTATTTTAGGTTCATGCCTAGGCCTTAGCATTTCTTGCTAATTGATTTGGACTTGAACAAATGACCTTGCATCTCCCAAGTGGGGGAGGCAGAGAAGACAGACATCTGACTACACCCTGTAGCGCCTCTCCTGTCCTAGAGGAACCCTCCTGCATTTTCCATGCCCGGCCCTCCCTGTCCTTCCCCTGTAGCTTTGCTTTGATCTCTAGTCGATGTGTGTCTTGCCTCTTCTGCCCCAGGCCGAGCCCCTGTATGAGCTTGTGACAGCCACCGACTTCGCCTACTCCAGCACGGTGAAACAGAACATAAAGAAGGCACTAGAGGAATTCCAGGAGGAAGTCAGCTCCTGCCACTGTGCTCCTTGCCAAGGCAATGGAGTCCCTGTCCTGAAAGGTACCACCACCTCCTAAAATACTGGGCTCCTCTGTGGAAGGTATCGCCTGCAGGGAGCCTCATTCTGGGTCAACCGTTGCCCGCTTTTCACTTCCCGAGGAGTTGGAATGTGGCAGGAAGGAGATTCTGCTTTGGCTGTCAGGGCACCAGTACTCTAGCCCCAGGGGCATCATGGGTAGCACTCAAATTTAGCTGATATTTGGAACTGTGAGCATGTGGTCTACCTTTAGGTCAAATATTGATTTAGCCAAACCCTGGACAAAGAAGAGGGCCCAGGCGGACCCAAAGAAATCCTTTGTGACTGTCCTTGCCGGTATGAGGGGAGGGGATTTGAAAGTGGCGTCATGGACAGACTAGGAGGACTTGATGACTAACTTCTAGGACCATGCCCAGAATCCTTACAGTGGGTGGGACGGAGCGAGAAGAGTGAGGCTGTCGTGTCAGGCTTGTTATGAAGAGATGTCAAGATGGAAGAAGAGTCTGTTCCAGCACTCTAAACA